AACAACCTCTTTGAAATGACCTGTACATGTGTATTGGAAGGTGAGCTGGGGAATGTACCTATTACAAGTGCAAGGGCCCACTTTGATCTGTGTGTGAACTGTGCCGATTGCCGCTTATTGCTATATCCAGATGGTCCTGGTGGGGGAACAAAACATTCCCCTTGCCATAGGATCTCTCAATAGGCCGTCTAGACCAGCCTGAGCCCAGACAGATACAGCCTCCCATCAAATTAGCGTTTGTCAGATTTATGGTAATGGTCCGCAACAGCCTTCCCGTCGGTGACATCAAGATTTACAGCTGGGTGTTTACATATTTATTTTTGGTTATTGATGTTTTAATCATGTTCTTTGTCTGGCGTTAATGAAGCGTTAATGTCGAGCCCTGGAGTCTATATGTGCCGGGGCTCATCCCCGGACGGACCCGGCCCAATTTAAACCCTGATTATAAGTCATATCTTGACATTATTTATTCAAGATCTGTACAGTATTTTACTAGCTTACTAATATTACAATAAATAGTTCAAATCAAATGTTCCATATTACACATTCATCTGGTCAGATATCTGATCTGATCTTATGGCTGTTAAAGAAAAACTAGTTTTATTATTATTGTTGTAATTGTTGATGTTATTATTTAGAAGTGGTCTTTGTCAGCATTAAATAAAGGAACAAGTTAACAATGGCAAGATATGAGACTTTTAATACATTATAACTATGGGAAAGATAATCCATTGTAAGTTAAGTGGATGCAGTGTGTTCATTGTGTAGCCTATTATAAATCATAATCTTAAAAGCTATAACCACAAATAAGTAAATATTATAATGCATTAAAACTGTTGTTATGATTACTCATGAAAGATACAACATATTATAAGGTTTTTTACAATACATAATGTATTCATTATAATGCCTTAAGAATACTCTTATAATGTATTATAAATACGGGCTTCATAGAAAGTGTTATAGATTTTTTTTTTCAAGTGAACTATTCATGTCTAGGCAACTTCCAATCAATTCTGTGCATGATGATTATGATTCTAGCATAATTCTTACTAAATGATCTTATGACAAACAACCTCTTTGAAATGACCTGTACATGTGTATTGGAAGGTGAGCTGGGGAATGTACCTATTACAAGTGCAAGGGCCCACTTTGATCTGTGTGTGAACTGTGCCGATTGCCGCTTATTGCTATATCCAGATGGTCCTGGTGGGGGAACAAAACATTCCCCTTGCCATAGGATCTCTCAATAGGCCGTCTAGACCAGCCTGAGCCCAGACAGATACAGCCTCCCATCAAATTAGCGTTTGTCAGATTTATGGTAATGGTCCGCAACAGCCTTCCCGTCGGTGACATCAAGATTTACAGCTGCGTGCCCCCCCCCCCCCCCTTTCCTTTCTGGGGGTTTGTCACCTCCCCACACATTGGTCTTATGCAGACATAGGGGGCTACAACCCAAAGAAATGGCCCAGTAAAAAACAGCTTTCTGGTGAAGCCGAGCCACCCAAGGTAGGTCAGAACAATGGCTGCACAGGGTTTGATAATCCCCTGTGATGAGGCTGAAGTGTTTGTGGTGCATGTGGAGCGCAGCTGGGGGGTCTGTTGTGGGCCATGACAGTAGAGACTACCGCTCTATTGTCTGAGGGTTTCTCCTGTTTTGGATAAAGGGCCAAGGGGGCTAAGTTAAGGGCTTGAAGGGGAACTGAAGATGCCCATGTATGTATGGTTACTGGGGTTCATTTATGTGGCCAGCCACAAGTAACCTGATATCAGCAAGAGGATCACCTACTGGGAAATATTTTGCCCGTCCTCAGTCCAAATTTTTTCCAAGGCTGTTTTTAACCTCTGTCGGAAGGCTTGTGTTAGGAAAGGGCTTGACATTACTTATGGGATGTTTATTAGAGAAATAATTCTCGATCATCTAAATAATTCTCAATCATGCAGCTCTTATAAAACCAGCTTTGTTTTTTTTGTTTTTTTTATTGGTTGGGGTGACTATCTAGCACATATACTAATTTACTGTATATTCTTTCTTTTCAAATATGTGACTGTTTAGGAACATTATGTTTTTAGTACAAAAATGTGATGATATAAGAAATGCACTTTGAGCAGAAAAAGTTCAGATTTTTTTTTTTTTTAAAGAGAGAAAATTGATCTGGACACTGTGGACTCACAGTTATTCAGTTTCATGAAGCATGGTTTCAATGTGTGATAAGCCAAAGTGTATATGTGCAGTTTACTATTACGACAATATTGAGAAAGCGTCAAACAAATCAATAATGAAAAAAATATGGTCAGTTTGTGATGGATAAAATACAGTACATACAGTGGTAGCTAGGGGGAGCTGTAGCCCTATATAGTAAACATCAATGAAGTGGCTCTTGAAGTGTGGAGGATCTTCACTGGTTCAGGTTGCAGGTATGAAAATACACATTGTCAGGCTAGCATGTTGCAAAGCAGTACAAAAGACAATATTAACAAAAATTCTGAATTCTTATTATACAGAAAAATTTTACTTTTATGGGGGCAGCAGCTTGTCACTGGGGAAGTACCCTTAAAGGGACAACTTTGTACTGTCTCTGCCCCTAAAAGTGGCAAGCTTTTGTACCAATTTTTGCACACTCTTTTCTGAGACTTGGGGGAATATGTGTGTGCAAAGATTTCTAAGAAAAGAAAGTGTTAAACTTTTGCCTATAAATGTTTCATTAAGGGTTTTTCAATGTATAGCACAGCTTTCAGGAAGTATGAAAGCTAACTGTTTTCATATTTTGGATGCACTAAATACTTTAATATGGGACTTTAATATGGGAAACATAGCGTCAGGTTTTATTTTAAGTAGCACAGCGAACTTGAAACTCATTGACAGATTAAATCTTTACAGATTTACCCAACACTGTACTGTAGTAACCAGCCTGTGGTTGGTATGGCGACAGCAAGGTATAGTGTGGACACAACAGTCTAACTGGCATGTATTTTTCACCTCTCTCCATATGTGGCGCGCCACTTTACTGGCACAAACTCCCGCTCCATCACAGTCCATATAACCGCTCCCCCCAGCCCTACGCTTTGCCAACCCTCTGTAAGCCACAAACATCAACATGAAGAGAAAAAAGATGAATGAAGGTAAACCCCCATCACCCCAGACTGCCATGGACTCTCACTATGAGCTGGAGTGTAGTCAGAAACGTGTTATGACTGGTGTGTATTACACTGTTGCTCCATCTGGACATCCATATAAAGCACTGTCAATTCAAAGGTCACCTCTGAGCCCTGCAGACAAGTGTTGCTAGCGGGTGTCTGGGCAGGGAAGGGTCGCCGGCTGGGATGATAGTGAGGTCTGTTTGGGAATGCCAGGCTCAGACTGGTCTGCCTGGGTCTGTGTCTGTGTCTGGTGTCACTCCCGACTGCCCCTCCCCCGCTCGCAAGCTCATTGGCCCTTACTGTAGTCTGTTTTGGACACAATAAAAACAAACCTCCCCATCACCCCAGACTGCCATGGACTCTCACTATGAGCTGGAGTGTAGTCAGAAACGTGTTATGACTGGTGTGTATTACACTGTTGCTCCATCTGGACATCCATATAAAGCACTGTCAATTCAAAGGTCACCTCTGAGCCCTGCAGACAAGTGTTGCTAGCGGGTGTCTGGGCAGGGAAGGGTCGCCGGCTGGGATGATAGTGAGGTCTGTTTGGGAATGCCAGGCTCAGACTGGTCTGCCTGGGTCTGTGTCTGTGTCTGGTGTCACTCCCGACTGCCCCTCCCCCGCTCGCAAGCTCATTGGCCCTTACTGTAGTCTGTTTTGGACACAATAAAAACAAACCTGACTGATCCCAAAACACCCTGGAAAAGCATCAACATTGTAATTACTGCAGTAAAAGCTACTGATGTTGGCATAACTGCAGATCATGTGTACGTTTTAAAAATATTTGTGCACTATTTGAAATCTGGGAGACCCCAAGACCCTTGTAATGACCGCTTTACATTCTTTAAATTTTTCGCTTTACATACTTTGACATTTGATCTTATGAGAATTGATTATAAACCAATTTTTAACCTTGAAATTCATAACTTTGTAATTTCATTCATTGTGGTCCAGATATGTATAAGGAATAAATGCAATAGGCTAAATGTTACTTGCTAAGATTTCCTGATTGGTTTACATATTGTGACAATACATTCCTGCCAGTTGTTTAGTCAAAAAACATGTAAAAATGTGAAGGGAAAATAATAGGGAAAGTAATAACTTGTATGGAATCCCATTACAAAGGATAATATAAAAGTTGTAATTGTGACAGTTTAAAAATAGAAAGTTGCAATTATTAGAAATAGTTACAATTATGAGAAAGTCAGCTTTGAGATACGAATTCACCATTACAAGAAAAGGTTATTTTTGAGAGATAAAGTCACAAATACAAGAATTAGTCACAATTACATGATATAGCAGCAGTAATGAGAAATAGTCAGCTTTGAGATATAAAGTTACAATTACAAGATATAGCAGTAATAACGAGAAATAAAGTCTGTAAACAAGTCAGTCTCCAGACATTATGAGGGTTGTGCAGTTGATACTGCTTTTTAGTTGCCTTGTTATTCAACTTAATGCTATATTGCATTTGGCACATTTAGCTTAATAAGGCTGGTTTTGGATGGTGAAATATGATGTCCTGTAGTGAATGTGGACCTGCGCTAATTTTACTGCAATATTTTCCACTCCGCAGTGCTATTTTTATCAGATGTTGTTCATTATGGACTTGTTTTGGCATGACCTGAAGCTGTTTGGCTCTTTGCTATGATTGATTACAGCTAGGCATTTTTATATTTGTTGATCATTGCTGGCACAATTTTTGGCTAATAATTTCCCAACGTGCCATTAAATCTAGTGCAGTTTACTTCCACACCCTGAATTAATAGCAAGATGGAATACGCTGATCTGGCAAAGGGGGGCTTACTTGAGCGTGCCATCGATTGAAAGCAGTAGATGATCTATGTCTTTACTTCCAGAGACACACCCTCCCGATCAGTGAAAGATGAACCTGATGCATGTGGCATTGGAAGGGGATTCATATTGGCTCAGGTTTGTGCTGAATTCAGTACCTATTCAGCCCAAATGAAATTCTCCATTCACATTACACCGCAAAAGATGTGACATTACTGCTGGTAGTACACCCTCACCATTAACAAACAAGTCAGATGAATTTCATTCAGTGCAGAACTCACAATGTTAGGAAATGTGAACTTTGTGTGGTCTACAGTTGTGCTATAGGCCAAGACGCTAGCATTATGTAAGGAAGATTCATCTAAAAGTTCTGTCTGATACCAATAAGCAGATAATTATTTTCATGTATACTGATACTGCTAAAAGCCTCATACTGAAATTCTATATGTCTGCATTCTATTTTCTCTACATAAAAATGTTAATTGCTACAAGTGAATTATAACATTATAATGTACAGTATTAAAAATAAATATTAATATTGATATTTGACAAAGATTACAATGATTATTTATGCCTTAAAACATTTTAAAAATATTTTAAATAAACTTTAAGTGACCATTGGATGATGGCAAAGGTAATTTAAATGTAAAAATAGGGAAAATTAACATATCATCTTCAATATCATGTGATGCATATCCAATAAATTTAAATAAAAATCTCTCTAATATCTGCCAATAACTGATATAATAATGATATATTGTGTATCCTTAGAAAAGACCCAAACTTAAGCCCCCTCGTGCAGGTCATAAATCACCATTAGTTATTTTATTAATTTATGTATTAATTACCAATAGTATTTTTTAATGTTATTAACATTTATTGTGTTGTTGTATATGAAGATTCTTTAAAAATGATTGTTGTTTTCTATTCCATGGTCAAAATAACAATGTACATATTTGTAACGATATGAGGATGAGTAAATAAGAGAATTGTCATTTTTTGAGGTGCAAGAATGCAGAAATCCTTTGAGGTGCCAAACAGTGTCACCGTCAAAGCCATGGCAATGGGCGATGCATAGAGGCGCAGGTGGGGCAAACAGGATGGCATCACTGCCTGACGCTTCAATGGCAGACGTCTGCTCTGTCTTCACACTCTCAGAGGGCAAATGAGTGAAATGTGAGCCCTGTCTGTCTGCGTGGTGCTTCCCTTGCTTTCACCCCCTCATTTATTGGCTCTAAAAATACAAAGCTGTCATTTAAAATAGAGCAGACAAGTGAGCAACGGCTGGCCATTGCATGTCCGGGGGGCAGACGGACCCTTTAGACCCCCCTCCCCCCAACCAACAGTATCTCTATACAGTATGTGTCTGTAAGGATTAAGCCTTTGGCCAATAACCCCGCAGAGCGATCGCTGTTGTCGCTGCTGTTCACTATGCTCCAGAGCGGCAGAATGCAGAGCATGTTACTTTTCTCATGATGGAAGTCAGATGACTGTTTTTCTTTATTGCATGGAGCAGACAGGGTCCCCTTCACTCAGCCGAGGGGTCCATTCAGTAGAAGTTGGCAGGCAGGGAGTTGTTTTTGCAGTGGCGCATTGTTCAGTGTTGCTTCCATAAGGGCTGAAGATTCAATATTGTGGCAATGCTGAGTGGATTTGGCCCAGCTGTGTTCTCCTGTCTGCCGTTCTGGATTCTAGCGCTGTCGTATCTTTGTTTTGGTGCCAGGGCTTGGAACTCAGCCAAGCCTTTTAATTACTTCGGCCGTTTGATGTCTTGACATCTTTTTTTAAATAGAAAGCTGCGTGGGATAAGGGGGCCTGAGAGTTTTTGTTTTTTTTTGCGTATACCTTTTAGCGAAACATTTCATCTAAAAATGTGTCAGTGCCGTGTCACAGCTGTTGTCAGTCTGAAATATTTATACCTTCAAACATCTTCATTTACATAAAAAGCAGTTCATCAGCTTTTACAACTGCCCCAACATCGGTGAGGTAATGTCTCGAGGCTCATGAACAATTAAAATGCGTCCAATATGACGAGAGCCAAAAGAATCAATCAAGAGTTAGCATTTCTCGACATATAGAAACCCTTTTTGGCAGGAGTGTCTGTTTCAACCTGCCTCACTGGCACGAGAAAAATCCTGACCAAACAGTTGTTTTAAATGTGACTTCTCTTCTCGGACACCTGGGAAATCCTTTATTTTGCTCTCTTGCAACAACATGGGGCGCTGAAGTGTGTGGCCCTGTGCTCCTGTGGGAACCCTGATGGGCCGTGGGGTCAAAGCTCCAGGATGTGCCTTTAGCAACTGATATAAATTTATCATCCCATCTGAGCACTGTAAGTGAAGGTGGGGTGAATAGGGTAAATTCATCAGCCTCTTACAGAACCAGATGTCCAGGTTGCTGTGTGACAAAGCAGAAGCATATGCGGCCGACCGATTATGTAGGGCGGCCTCTCTGTGGCTGTTCCTGTGAAGGGCCTGTGAAAGCCATTTAGGATTTTAGTGATGGAAGAGCACCAGAGAAAATGACACATTTGTTTGCCTACAAGCCTTTGCTGTCCCTATTAGGATTCAGGAAGAATTACATAATACATGAGTGAGCTGTAACGTTAGAAGATGGGGCTCCGTGGCAGAATTGAGAAGTTTTGACTAACGGCACTTTACACAAACAGTTACACAAAGTCACACAAACTCATACAGCAAAATATATTTTTTTCCCAGATATTTTTAAATATGTCCCAGAATAACCAAAAATGTTCAAAAAATACTGCTTGCTGTCCCTATTAGGATTCAGGAGGAATTACATAATACATGAGTGAGCTGTAACGTTAGAAGATGGGGCTCTGTGGCAGAATTGAGAAGTTTTGACTAACGGCACTTTACACAAACAGTTACACAAAGTCACACAAACTCATACAGCAAAATATATTTTTTTCCCAGATATTTTTAAATATGTCCCAGAATAACCAAAAATGTTCAAAAAATACTGCTCTTATGGATTTAAAAATAAATTTACATAAATCTATTTTTTGATCATTTTGGATGTAACTTCTATTTCCTTCTATTTTTAATATCTCTCCAATCCAGTACAATTTACATGTATTTTAAGATTGGAAATGCATTTTATTGTCCATATAAAATGCAATATCTTGCCATTTGGATGTTTAAAAGAAATATGTGAACAAATTTAACAAATATATTTCCTTAATCCACACTCTTTACAATGTAAATTTTATCTTATATGTAAAATATATTTTGGCCAGATATATTTTTGCCCTTTGGGAATGTAATGATGCTTTATGAGAATGCATAACATTTACATTTGTCTATTTAGAAAGAAACTGCTCTTTATATAGAGACTACAATGAGTATGTTTCCATGTGGAATGAAAAAATCCAGAGGTGAAGGGCAGAATCAAGCCCTGCCTGGCCCAGACTAGTTCTGTCCTGCTAATAAAAGATATCTCTTTTTAGTTCTGTATACTGATCTCTCCACACCGGCTTCAACCGTCCCATTCACGGTTCACGCAGCATTTGCCTCCTAATGTCTCCCAGCAGGCCTCCAGTCAAAGACAGTGATTCATAAAGTGACAGGTCTGTCTGCTGCCATGAGGACACAAGCTTTCAGAATCCTGCCTCTCTCTCTCTTTTCCACACCCTCCCCCCTAAACAGACACAGACTGCGTTAGACTGTCTGGTAACAGTCTATTTTACATGTTAGGGCAAGCAAATTCTACAATAAAGCCTGCCCTAATATCAAGCAATAGGAAAGGAGGTCTCAGCCACATTAGTGCAGGAGAGGCAGTAAATCATCAAGTTTGTTTAGATGCACAATCTTACACCAGTTATGCTTAATAACCCTCATACAACCTGTAAGGTCTAGTAAACTCAATAAACATTATTCTTTTATCAGGCAAAGGTCATAAATGGTTTAAGCAAAACCCAATGTAAACACCACATGTAAACACCTTTTCCGTCATTCTGTTGGCTTTTTCAGTATGATCTCCAGATGATGTAAAAAAAAGATTGTCTTGTCTTTTCTTTCAATTTAATTCTCATATTTCATCTCAAGCATGTTATTTACTGATACTGTTATCTCCTTGTTGAACAAGTACACTCACTTTTGAAACAGCAGAATTGTTCATTGAGATGGAAATGACTTCATATCTGGGACAGTCACAGTCAAATTGGTGTTATTTTCACACAAAATACTGTCTTTTTTTCTGTTTGTAAAACAATAAAATCTGCACAAAATTTTTTTTTTTTAAAAACAGCAAAAAAAATAAATGAATCTCATAGTAAAAATTTTCCAATAATGTTTTTAATGTGATCTTCATATAACAAAAAGTTACAAATCAGTTTTAATAAAAATGCACTCTTGGACATTAAATGGCCAGAGTTAAAGGGACACACGTAAACGTGGTCACTGAGAAAGCAACAGCTGTGTGGTGAAGTTCATATCCCATTTTGTCAGTGAAGTCATTTTATTGCGAGTTCAGGAGTTCTCCTCCAGATGTGTTGCTTTCAAATCACTGCATTAGTTCATTGGCATCAGCAGACGTCTTTATTTAGAACTTCATTAGCGTTTGTCAGCTCATGCTCCTCAGTTTATTTTCAGACTGTCTTCTTTGGCAAACATGCTTAAATTGTTCATTTTAGCCTTATCAGCATGCTAGTGAAAAGTGCACCACTCATTGTCACTAACCATGTTCATCTTCTCTGTTGTTGTTTTTTTAATTTATTTATTAGTGTCTCCAGAAGTTGTGCTGTATGACCCCCCCTCCTCCCAGACCAGAGTATGATCTCGTGTGCATTGGACTGAGTGGAGCCGGCAAGACCAGTCTGTTATCTCACTTGTGCAATGAGATCAGTGATGGCACAGTACCAACCGCAGGTAATATAACATTTCTCTGCAGCTTTGTACTGCAGCATTTTTAAGCCAACAAAACATGCTTTTCAAAGGAACAAAATATGAGAGACAAATCACATATTTAGCCCCGAGACCTAAAAAGACTTTACAAGAGTAAGAATTTACAAGTAATACAAGCCCCAGCTCCTGGTTCTCAAACAAATGTGAAAAATCATTCCAACAACTATTTTTGCAGTGAGTTTGCCTAAGCCTCCACATTTGTACTCAGTACATATATCATATCTCCGGCACTACACTTTCCCAGCGCTCTGGAACATCTGAAAAATCTGAAAAAATTTGCTTTTCAACCTCTCTGAGTACTGAAAACTGTGTAACGTTATTGCTGCAGGTTACCTCAGAGCCTCCATTTGAGCACTATGCTACTTTACCAAAGAAAGAGCATATGTATGTGTCTTTTTTTTTGAGAACATCTGGGTTTTGTCACATAGACTTTCTTCCTTGTGACAAGAGTGTTGATTTCATTAGAGCCATTGGCGACAGGCTGGTGTATCCATGAATTTCTTCACCTCTTGAGATGGAAGACATCACTTCCGTTTTTACCAACAACACAAATGGTGACAGGCTTTCTTTGGCACATTTCAACAATTGGAGTGTGATGTATACAGCACACTAGACGATACACAAAGCCAGAATGTGCATCCAATGATGGCCGCCCTTTGTCTTTGGAGCGAACACCTGTCTTGGGCTGTCTAGTGAAGCAGTAATTACAAAAGCGAAGTGTTATTTGGCAGACTGTCATGGAAATATGGTTAGATTAAGTTGTCAGAGTCGCTAGTCTGCAAAAACAGACCTAGATAGAGCTTCTCTCCTGTTCATGACATATTTACTCTCACCTGTTGAGCATTTGATGAAACGTACCTCATGAACATTAGCTTTAAATTAATGTGGGCTTTGGAGGTTCAGTCTCATGTTTTCAGTTGCATTAATCAGTACCAAATGTCTGCCCTGTTTGCCTCTGTATGCATTGGTGAGAAACTAACACAACGGATGTAATGTCAAAGTGAATGTCTTCTGTGTTTAATGTCAATCAGAAGCCTCATGCCCATTGCACAAGTGGAAAAAAAGTGGATGCATCTTTTGATAATTAAATTGCATTATTATTGTAGGTTAAAAACTTTGCTAAAAGCGCTGTAGCAAAAACCACCCATATACATGTCTAGATTTGGTCAGTCCCATCGCATGTTCCACAGATGTCATTATCAATGCAACCTCATGTCATTCAAAACTTAGATTCTTAGATTCTTTCTTTTTTTATATATAGTAATATAATTCATAATTCAATATATACTTCAAACATTGTCCTTTACCACAAAGTTTGTGAAATTTTAACATGAGCATGCTTTCTTTCACAGGTTTCAGCATCAAGGCAGTGCCATTCGAAAATGCAATACTGAATGTGAAGGAACTAGGAGGTAATGAGAACAAACAGACCAAAAATCATCATCTCTTCTCCAAGCAGTATAAAGAAGACTGTTGCCATGCTAATCCAGTGGTCTCTGGGACAGATCTCTTAGTTTAGCCACCTGAACTCTAAGAAGGGGTGCTTACCTCAGTGTCTCCTACTTCCCAGTAAAACCACAGCTGCACAGAGGGTGTAAAGAGTAAGACATTACAAGTCAGTCAAGTTTAGTAGGTGTTTGCTAAGCAAATAAATATTGTGTCTCTTTTGGCAGAAGGGCTTGCAAACAGGGGAAGCTGGGAAATAACAAGTTGATGCCTGTGATAGCCACACATGTGCCTTCAGTTTTCTGTTTGTGGCATTCATAGAATAAACAAATATGATTTGACCAGCTAGCATATTTTGTGTTGACACAGCAAAGTAATCATTTTCTTGATCAGTGTTTTATCTAGTTTTACTAAAATAGCAAAAAACAAATGTTTTCAAAAGTTTTGAATTATGTTTAGTTGCTTGATTTTACTTTAGCTTTAGCACCCTGATTTTTTTTTCTAGCATAAACCCCAACAAAATATATATTTATACTTAAAAAAAGATTTAAAAAAAATATTGGGAGTAAGAAAATTTAAATTTAAAAACAAAGTTAATTCTTTAAAAACAAACACTTTTTTACCTTGTAAATTTTTTTTTATTTAGGTCAAACATCTAGTGTCTACCAAAGTACTATACATAAACAAATTAGTTAGATACTATAAAGAAGTAAGAAAATAAAAGAAAGACAAAAACAACAACAAATAACCCATAAAAAAAGTTAGTACACATTACAATATATAAAATACTATTCATCCAATAGCCAAGGAATATCAGCTACAGAGCAACGATCAGGCATGATCCCCCTTAAACTTTAAGCGCGAGTAAGGTATATGTAGGAGGAGTTTATCAGAGGATCTGAGAGTTCGAGAAGATTGTTGGTAACTGAGAAGTTCAGACAGATATGATGGTGATACACCATTTAACGCTTTAAAAACAAATAATAAAATCTTAAAATGGATCCTATACTGCACCGGTAACCAGTGAAGAGATGCGAGGACTGGTTGAGACCCATATAAAGTGCATTGCAATAATCTAGTCTAGAAGCGATAAATGCATGGATAAAAGTAATACAAAGAAAGTTTATTGCATTTGCAATGCTTGCATTTTGAAGCATTTGATATCTTCGAAACATTTGAAAAGGTCAGAATAAGTGTTATCAGAGCTAAGAGGGATGTTAATCTGGGTATCGTCAGCATAACAGTGATACAAAATAATATATTTCCTCATGATAGAACCCAAGGGGAGCATATACAAACCAAAAAAATAGGTCCCAAAAGTGACCCCTGAGGTACCCCACATGTGAGTGGTGCAGAGGAGGAGGACGAATTTCCAATCGTCACCTTTACTGATCTATCCGAATGGTATGAAAAGAACCAATCCAATGTTTGGAGTTGATTTTTACCTAGTTGGTAATATGAATCGAATATTTAAATTATCAATCAAAATCTCAGCTTCTTTCAACCCCTCCATTTTACATATACTGTATATCTAATCTGACGGGACGGTTCGTTTGGGCCGGATATGAGATGCTGGTTTAAAAACAACCATTGCTGGGTTATTTGGCAACCCAGTGCTGGGTAAATATTGGACAGAACACATGCTGGGTTATTTTGACCCAGCTAGTTGGGTTAAATGTTTTACCCAACATGATGGGTTGTTTTATTTTTAACTCAACTATTGTGTAAAAATTATTATATTGCTGGTTTAAAATGGGCTGGAAATTAAAAAATCACACACAGAATTACTAGAGGCAACATCAATAATCAAAAGATGAGCACTTATTAATAAGCAAGAACATCCATGGACAAAAATTTAAGACAAATTGAATTTATTTGGGTGAATAAAGCATAATTTGCAATATTACATACATTTAAACTAGTTAAAAAAGCATTTTAGGAATACAAAAATTTAACATTTAAAAGTAACATTTTAATTCAAGTGTATTCAACCATTCTCTCAACTTCTCTGTTATCCCCTTTAACCAAAATAGTGCTGATTCTCATGCCGCTGTGTCGCCAAAATCTGAGCTGTTCGGCGGGGGAACTGCGAACCTCAGACCGCCGCCTCACGTTTCACTTGTAACTGAAAGATTCTGTGACTGACTTCATAACCTGCCCATAAACAAACAGTACTGAGAATAGAGAACATATTTTAGCATCAAAATACATTTAATTTAGTATTATAATGAATAAAATCAGTTTATGTAGCCACATGCTCGGTTGATTCGTCGGAGGGTGTATAGTTTTAGCGGTCAGTGAGATGGACCCAACCACTAACCCAATGGCTGGGTAACACAAAAACTACCGAGCACTGGAAAAAAACAATGACCCAACAGGCTCAACCTAGCAGTTGGGTAGAAAAAGTAACCCAGCATTTTTTAGAGTGCAGGTACAATGTTGGAAGATGTTTGTTGTTGTAGGACTGCTAAACAGAAAGAGATCTGTGGAGAGAGAAATAAATCAGAGCCTGACTCTTTTTATGAGAATGTTAGGGGAGCCGCTTTTTGAAGTGATTTATGTGTTTTGTGGGTCGCAGGGGACATTACAGGTGCACTCTGTATCATGACAAGTGGCCCTACCAGTGCAAGAGAATCAAGAGCCCACTTAAAGAAAAACAACAGGGATAGAGAACACAGTAAACCAAAGGGAGGCCTGGCTAAATCTGAAATGCATACGGAGGGCCGTGAAATGAAGCTTCTCCAGTAGGTGAGGTCAGAGCCCCCAGGGATGTTTTAATGGATTGCTGCCTCCAGTGTTCTTTAAGATGAGGCTGATGTATCCCTGGAGCAGGACACATCTGCTTTGACTGAAAGTTTGCAGAGTACCTGAAAGGGAATGCAGCTGTAAAATATGTGTTGTTAGTGTGTTTTTATGCTGCCCCATTAACCGCCTTACTTTGGTCTTTGTTGCATATAACCTACTGAGATGTCTCCACTCTTGGTGAAACTAATTATTATTCTGCTGTGCATCTAGATCAGTGGTTCTCAACCTTTTTGACTCAAAGACCCAAGATATTTCTGTTGCTTATTTTTAGACTTTTTTAGGAATACTGATATATTTAACTAACCACAATCCATTTTGTGATTCCAGAAGTCCCAATAATTGTTCTTCAATAAAAATAATATTTGCTGAATGGAGAAATGAAATATAGTTTATATATATGGGAATATATATAATATTTATATATAAATATAGTTTATATATAAGTTTATATCTTGATTTAATGTGTTTTTTTATTTAGAGATAGATGTGTACCAGTGAAATGAATTTCCTTTTTTATTTTGAAATATAGACAATCATCTCTGCCCTTCTTGATGCACTTAAAGCACTTTAGCAACTCTAGTGACTAAGTGGCTACTTCAGCAACTTAAGGGCCCTGATAAAAGTTATCTGCTGGTTTAGACTGGAAAATATGATGTAATACAAAATCTTTTTTATAGATGTTTGGGTGATATTAAGAAAATTTTCATTTGTGCTTACTCATTTTCCTTATTTTTACATTTAGATTACCTTTGTGGTCATCTAACACTCATTTAAAGTTATTTTTTAAGGGTGCTTTCACACCTGGCCCGTTGTTTCGGAACCTGGCACGTCACTTTATAATGCCGTCTTATTTCTCTTCTTCCTAGTGGGTGCATTTTAAAAATGTTCTCCCGATGAATCCTGGACTCCTGCTCAAAATTATAAATTAATATAAGGACAGCTACAAAAAAAAACAACAATAAGCCCGCAAAGCTGTTGTCGTTCCATCCTGA